TGGCCGGGTTTTTCTTTAGGGACCCCTCGGGATCTGTCGATGGCACCTCACATTCCTATCCTCTCCATTAATCGCTTGGATTCTGCCTACTTCCTTCTCCCAAATTTGTCTCCTCACCCTTTGTAGAGACTCCTGAATCCCATCCCTTCCCTTCCCTCTTTCTCCATGCAGGGCAACCGTGAAGCCCTTCCAGCCTGCCCAGAGCAGCAGTTCCCTCCATGCAGGGCAACCATGCAGCCCTTCCAGCCTGCCCAGAGCAGCTGTCCCTCCATGTAGGGCAACCATGCAGCCCTTGCAGCCTGCCCAGAGCAGCTGTCCCTCCATGTAGGGCAACCATGCAGCCCTTGCAGCCTGCCCAGAGCAGCCGTCCTCCCATCAGCTTGTTTCTGGTCTGCACACAGTGCCAGATTGATCTCTGGAAAGCACTGTGCCTAAATCTTGTTAGACTTCACTCCTGCAGGATTAAAGACAGACTTCTTAGCTTCACAGTCAGGGACCCTCATTGATAGCTTGTAACTTCTCTTCCTGGTCCCCTCTCCCCAGCTGCACTCACCTTCTGCTCCTCTCTCAGACTCTGCTATTGAGCCTCTGAACATGCCTGTTCTGTAGACCTTCCTAGTGGTTCCCACTGCTTTCTGTCCCCACCCTCCCACCTGTCCTCTGCTCGGCTCTGCTTCATACTTCTTCTGGTGCCCCAACTCCTGTGGCATTCTTTCTTTTTACAGAACACCCAGAGTGTTTCCCTTGGCATCTCGGGTCCATGAGTGGACCACAGGCCAGCAGCAAAGGCATCATCTGGAAGCTGATGGAAAGACAAAACCCAGAATCCCAGGCTCCACCTGTGAGCCCTAGGGTCAGGATTTGTGCTCATGTCTGAGTTTGAAGAGCACTCGTTGACGTGTTCACTGTGTACCCTGCTTGTATCGGTGCACGGCCTTTCACCAGGATATGGGGGATAATCTCAGATTTATCTTTAGCACCATCAGGTGATGGCTGCTGTGTTGGCCAGATTCCACAGTCTATGGTGGAGGGGTGGATAGTGGAGATGGCCAAAAAGATTGTGTGCCCTTCCCACCTCTCAGGCCCCAGAGCGCAGACTGTAACTCCAACTGCTCTGGAAACCCAAGGAGGAATCAATTAATCAATAGAAATCAGTCGTCAAGCATGTAGTAGAGTTTGTCCCTGCTCACAGAGCACACACGGGTGCTAATGTCTGTTATTTTAGCATATGTTTTGGAAAGGAAAATATTTATTGTTTTTTCTTTATTATAGCATTAATACAGTTTCTAAAGTAGTAGCTTTAGAAAACACAATATGTTACATGAAGAAAATAAAACTGACTCATGGTTCCTCTCTATCAGTGTTCATTTAGTACTTTTGGTTACCATTCATCCTTTCAATAAATATTTACAGAGCCCTGCTATGTTGCCAGATCCATGCCAGGTACTGGGGATTTAGGGTGAATAACAGTTCCCATCTTTAGGCAGCGCACAGCCTGGGCTGGATGTGGGAGACAGGCACCACACACGTTGTTACAGATGGCAGTATGTTTATGTCCCCAGGATGCTGGGTCACAGTACCACAAATGAGGTGTCTCAGAGCCGTCTGGATCTGTTCTCCCACAGCTCTGGAGGTGGGAAGTTTGAAATCAAGGTGTCTGAAAGGGTTGCTTCCTGTGCAGACTGGGAGAGGCCGCCCGTCCTATGCCACTCCCCTGCTTCTGATGGCTACTGGAAGTCCTTGGTGATCCTTGGCAGTCCTCAGCTTGTTGGTGCTCCAGGCTGGACTCGCAAACCATTTTCTCTTTTGCTCTGTTCAGTGCTGTCTTTCTGTCGGGAAACCAGTTGGAGTAGGGACAACCTCCACCTCCCACCACTTTCAGGAAGACTTGAATCGCATTTGCAAAGGTCACATTTTCAATCAAGGCCACATTTGAGGTACAAGGTATCAGGACTTTAACCCATAACACTCAAGGACAATACAGAGCTCTGGAGGAGCAAGAGAAGGGGCTTTCTTTGCCTGGGAAGATGGCTAGGAAATGATCTTCAGAGGGGGACTGAGAGGAATTGGAAGCAGGTAGACAAGGGAGGAGGGGTAGACAAGCTAGGCGGTAGGGGCAAGCCATAGAAGAGTGTTCCAGGTAGACAAGAGACACAGTGGAAAGGGGGCGGCAGGTGTCATGCAGAGGGGTGGGTTTCGTCCTGGGTGAAGACAGTCTTTTCTGGTGACTGACCATCCTGGAGGTTGTGTTACTCTAAGTCACTGATTCTGGGGGAATACACAGCCATGTCCCCAGGAGTCCCTGACTGGGAGAAGGCACATGTTACCCTGGAGTACAGCAGGAGATGGGCCTTGCGTTCCACAAGCTTTCTCTGCACAGGAGACAGGGCTCCTCCTGCCCTGCGTCTGCTGGACCTGTGCGTATGACGAGCCCTGAGACAGAGGCAGGGATATGACCGCAACACCTGCATTTACTGTGAGGGCTGTGATTAGGGCTGTGACTGAGACTGTGTCCAGGGCCCGGGTGGCACTCTGAGGCCAGAGCCACAGATGATGGGAGAAGACAGATCTCTCAGGAACGTATTTCCAATGCTCTACTCTCATCAGGGACTATTCGGAGCTTGGTGCCTTCCCTCATAGGACCCAGGCTAACTGGGTCTCAGCTCATTCCCTTACGACACCCTCAGAGGGTTGTTCCTTTTCTGCATGTGATGGCAGAGGGCCTACCCTACCCGAAGCTGCCTGCAACCACCTCTCCTGGGCTGGGTGGGCCCAGCCTGGGTGGAGGAGAAGTGGGTCAGCTGGTAGCCATGGTGACAGCAGCTGCTCCCTGCCAGCTTTCCCATCTCTTCACCACAAACCTCACCGGATGAGCTTCTTTGTCCAGTCCAGCAGAGATGGGAGCCAGGAGGATGGGACTGGGGGCTGGAGTGTGGGAGTGTGTATGTGTTCCAGCTCACAGAAGGGCCTGCCCCAAGCTGGTGTGTGAGCCCCAGCCAGGCTCAGGGTAAGACTCCTGTGAACACAAGTGCTTGTGTCTTTAAAATGTGGGTAGCAGCTTTGTGGGTCTGTGTAATGTGATCACATTTGAAATTATGTGTTCTCTCTCTCTCTCTCTCTCTCTCTCTCTCTCTCTCTCTCTCTCTCTCTCTCTCTCTGTGTGTGTGTGTGTGTGTGTGTTGGGGGGTATTGTCTGGAAAGATAAGAGGTCTCCACACGAGGAGAGTAGGTGAGGCAGCATGATCCCCACACTGGCAGCCTGTGCTTTCTTGGCCTAGCCTGCCTCCCCCCCCCCTCCCATACCAACCCCTGCCACCTTCCCACGTCTCCCTAAGTCATGGAAGGAGGGGCTAGACCTAAGGGCCTTTCCCAGGGTTTGAGGCAGGTTCTCAGATGCCAGAGCCAGCATCCAGCAAGGCTCTCATCCTACCCCACAAACCTAGAGTAGTGGTGGGTGATCTTATTAACCCAGGGGCCTCCCCTTGAGCGGGAGGCACGTGGTGAGTAGGAGCTAACACCTGGACAAGTGTTTACCACGTCCCGGGCACCATCACTCACAGTAAGTAGGTAATTGCCCTTCTGAGCAGTGAGCACACACTGATCTTGTTTTGTAATCTTTTATCTAACACTCCTAAAGCACATGTGGTCATCCCACTTTGGGGAAGAGGAGCCGTGTGCTAGGGAGTGGGGGTGGAAGCCCTCTAACTCTGCTCAAGAGTGGCAGGCAGGCCTGAGTGTCACACTACCCAGCCCTTGAGTATATGCCCCTCTGCGCATCTGACCCATCTGATCATAGTCAGCTGGGAAAGCTGGGTAGGTCCAGGTGGCCATCAGATTTGTGTGTGTGTGCGCGCGCGCGTGCGTGTGTGTGTGTGTGTGTGTGTGTGTGTGCTTTTTGTTTTTCGAGACAGGGTTTCTTTGTGTAGCCCTGGCCGTCCTGGAACTTACTCTGTAGACCAGGCTGGTCTCGAACTCACAGAGATTCGCCTGCCCCTTGCCTTCTGAGTGCTGGAACTAAAGGTGTGCGCCACCACCTCCCAGTGCCATCAGACTCTTCTTAGAGACTCTGAGGGACTTTCTCAGAGTTAATGCCTCCCACCCTGACTGCCAGGTAGTGGTTCTCAACCCGTGGGTCGTGACCCCTTTCACAGGGGTCGCTGAAGACCGTGGGAAAACACAGATATCTACATTACAATTTATAACAGTAGCAAATTTACAGTTATGAAATAGCAACAAGAATAATCTTATGATTGGGGGTCACTGCAACATGAGGAACCATATTAAAAGGCTGCAACATGAGGAAGGTTGAGAACCGCTGGTCTGGGGGGGTACACAGGGAGCAGACAGAGGAAGAGAGGATGGGGCCCAGGGCTCTTGAGCATCCTGGCCTAGGTGAGCCCATGTATTAGAGAATGTTGTTTGCTTTTTTTAAATACAGGTATAGTGGCACGTGCCTGTCATCCCGCACTTTGGAGGTCGAGGCAGGAGGATCAGGAGTTCAAGAAGATTGCCCTTAGCTGTATAATGATCTGGTGGTGGTCAGCCTGGGCTACTTGAGACCCTGTCTCTAATTAAGCTTCTTCTTTTTTGTTTTTTCTCCTCCTGGGGATGGACTCCAGGGTCTGCCCACACACACTAGGTACGCTGGCATCCACTCCTGAGCTACACATCCCCATCCTTAAAAAAAAAAAATCTTAAAGCTGCTGGGCTTCAGCAGTTTGACCCTGAAGTACCTAAAGGAAAATTAGGGGACCAGGACTTTTAAAGGAGAGAACGGCAGTACCCATACACCTTTGGCCCCAGCCCTCAGGCGCAGAGGCAGGCAGAGCTCAGAGTTCAAGGCCTTCAAAAACAGAGAAACAAGATCTGAAAATTGGAAGGACTTTCTTAGTGTTCCGCAACCATCCCCAAAATCTGTGTTTTCCTCCAGCAGCTGCTAGAATTCCCTTGAGACAGAGGCCTTAACTCGATTTCTTTTGTGGTCAACTCTTTCCTTGCAGACCCTGCCATCACATTTCCTCCTCCTGGAAGCCTGCCCTGATTGCCTTTACTGTCTCTGCAGAAGTGGAGATTTGCGCAAATGCCCTAGGGGCGTGCTGCTGAGAGGGCACAGCCCCCTGTGATGCGGAACCCCACACCCAGGTTCATCAGTTCGGTGAGCTTACCTTTCCTTCCAGACGAGAGGGAGGGCGGGCGGGCGGGCGCTCGTGGCTGGTGCTGGGAAGTCAGGATTGAGAAGACTTGGGTGCATCTCTTTTTCCATCCCAGGCCTTGGTCTCCACCGCTGTAGTTAAAAGGCGAGAGTAGGGAGGACAAGCCAGTGTGGAGGTGTTTCTTCTGAGCTGGTACAGGAGCACCGTCGAGGGGCTTCTGAGGTCTGTCTGGCCTCTGGAAACAAGGTAGACTCGTGGTGTCTGCTGTAGGCAGATGGTGAAGAAGGGTGGAGGAACCTCAGTCACTTGCTGTCCCTTGTGCCTCACAGTGCAGGCACCCCGGGGTGAGGTCCTTGTAAAAGTGGGTGGCTACATTCATCTTGGGCTTTTGGGTGCTTCATTGACTGCCAAGAAAAACTTCCTGGCTTGTCAGTCACATAGTCAAAGGGGGCAGAAGGCCGCAGGGGCCTTGCAGTGCCTTGAGACCTGCTCCAGGAATTGTAGTGTCCCTAGGGGTAGCAAGACCCCAGGTAGAGGCTCCCCTCCGAGGGCAGAAAGGGAAACAGCAGGCCCATTCCTGGGTGTCTCCCCAGGACACCTGGGAACCATTTCCTCTGCTGTCGTGTAGTGGGTGGGAGCACCCTGCCAAGTGAGGCTCCATCATTGGAGGGCATCACAAGAGGGCCCCGGCCTTGATGTGTCATGAACTGGGCAGGGAAAGAGTCCAGCTCCAGCAGGGGAATGTGATGTAATGTGACCTTCATGGAAAGGACATTATGTTGTTCATCCGGCAATCATCTGGGCCATCAGCATATGGCATGCTGTGTTCAGGGTTCTCTCAGGCCTCACTAGATCATGTCTCTGCCACCTCCCCCTTCACGTCCCTGTGATCTGAGGGCTCAGGGGGTTGCTTTGCAATGAACTTCCTTCCTCTGGGGCCCAGTGTGATTGATCCCTGGCTTTCCTGCAGAGAAGACTTAGAGACAGGCATTGTTGTTATCCCCGTCACCATCCTTCCTTGTTTTGAGACAGGGTCCAACATAACCAGGCTGGCTCTGAACTCATTATTTAACCGAGGATGACCTTGAACTTCTGTCCCACTGTCTCTACCCAAGTGCTGAGATCACAGGTCTGCCAGCTAGACAAGCCCTCTGCAGGCTCAGTTGTATCCTCAGCCCAAGAATCCCAGTTCTGAGCCTTCCACTGACGCAGACAGTCTCAGACTCGGCTCCCTTGACTAAAGGACTTTTTTCAGAGCACCTAGTGTGACCCCTTCCGTGTGACACAAAGGTGAGGAAACCAGGACCCAGAAAAGAACACAGGAGGAATCAACTTCCGTTCGGAGTCACGCTCCGATGCCCAACCCTCCCGGATTTCTGTGCCCCGGTGCTTTAGGTCTGGCTCCTCCTACCTTCATGGGGAGTGGCCTGCAGATGGGGTCACCCCAGCCTTCATCAGCTCTTCAGGTGTGTGCTTGAAGGTGAGAGCATGGTTCTGTATGGCACAAAGTCCCGGATGCCAGTCCGCTTGTCGGTCTGTTTATTATTCATGAGGAAACATGAACTCCCAGGTTGGCAGAGTCTGGAATTTTGTCCCTTCTTACCCCTCAAGTGTCCTGGAGGCTCACCAGGGAGCTGTGTGCTTTTAAGCTCTAGTCTAGTATTTATGTCCCTTAAATGCTTGCACAGCCTTGGGGAACTTGGGCCACAAAGAAAGGGTTTTCTCACAGAACCCAGAGATGCAGGGTGGCGCCTGCCCTGGAGGGTGGGCCCTGGCTTTGGATAAGATCTGCACTGAGGGGCAGGGGCTACTGAGCATGTAGGCCTCTTTGTAGACGCAGGAGATTTGGGTTCAAATCCAGGCCTTGTCACTTCCTAGGAGAGTGGGCAAGGAGACCTCTGATTCTCTGAGACTCTGTTTGCAGCTGCCCTGAAGAGATAATGAGGCGCCTCTCAGAACTACCGTAGTGGGCAGATTAGACTCAGGCTGCGGCAGATTCACAACACCAGATAAGCCCTGTCCCGTCTCGCGCCAGAAGACTGACTGTACAGATACCCCCAAACCCTCACACACTGGCACAAGGACTGGAAACTAAACAGAAGAGATCGTCCCAGGCCACAGGGACTTTCCGTTAGCTCTAAGGTTGATGGAGGATGAGAAATACAACCCCAGACTCTGCAATGCCACGGGGGAAAGCAGTCCACAGCCCCAAGAAGGCAAAAGGAGGCCTTGACTCACCCTCTTCTATTCAGCCTTAGTTCACTGGTCTAGCAGGAGCCATGCTGGCAGGAGGACAGGTAGCCGTGCTCAGAGGTATGGGGGCTGTCTTCCTTGGCAGCCAGAAAAAAGGCCACCCTCTTCCACCTTCATTTCCCCTCCCCCCTCTTCTGCATCCTTTTGAAGTCAGGCTCCCTCAAGCGCAAAATGTCCTGACCCCTGGGATGTACAGCCAGCCCAGGAAGAGACTGGATGCCAGTGTAGAACAAGGGAATGAAGGGCCAGAGAATGAAGGGCCGGGTTTCTTACTATGCCTGAGCAGATGCCAGCTGAGCGGCCTGGTACCTAACAGCCAAGTCATAGAGCTTTGTGGCTGGAGACCCCACTTCTGGGGCCAGAGCTGTGACTAAGTGGGTAAAAGACTTGCTGTGCAGACATGAGGGCCCAATGTCAGATCCTCAGCTGGTCAAGCCAAGTTATTGCGCTCCTTGTACAGCAAGAGACCCTGTCATAGAAAACACGGTAGAGGATGGTGGTTGAGGGTGATGCTGGACACTGGCCTCTACACATACAGACACCAAGAGACACCAGCTCTGTGTAAGACAGGCCCGCAGATGCCTACCGCCCCTCCCCCCGTGTTCTCAGAGCCCTCTGTCCTCCTCTTCCCTGGCTCTTATCGTAACCACCATTAAATATTTAATGGTGTAATTGGTTATTTACTGTCTGTCTGCCCTCCTGGACTGGAGGTCTTGGGAGGGCAGGACCAAGTGGACCTGGCTGGCTGCTGCTGCATCCCTGGCACTCCGTCCTAGCCTTGGAATTTTAGGAAATTAAACATTTGTTGAATGCAGTTAATGAGGACAGTAAATTTTTATACTTTGGAAAGGGATTTGGCAATATAACCCAAGAATTTCTTTAAAAAGCCCTAATATGAGGCAGGATGCTTTTGGATTTAATGGAGAACACTGATTCACACTGGCTCAAGCATAGAAAACATCTTCTTTCTGAACTGAGTACCAGGGAAAAATGGGCTCCAGGTTTGGCCCTGTTCTCCGTGCTGTGTGCTGTGGTCCTCGGCAGCACTGGGTTGGGAGGTGAATTATTTGAGCTGTGGTCAGATGCCTACTCCTGAACAAATAACTTGCTGGACAAGAAAGCCCTTCACCTTAAGCTAATCAGAATGTGCTCAGAAACAAGATAAGGTAGCGCCTGGCCAAAGCCATCATCTGCCAGCCAGCAAGGATGGGTCTGGGGGTCTGGGAAACTCCCAGCATTCTATACACACACACATACACGCACACACGCGCGCGCACGCACACACACACACACACACACACACCTGCTTATCCATTGCTAAGGAAATCGGAACCAGTGCAGGAAGATGCTCATCTCAGTGTTTGCTTGTTTTCTTTGAGACGGGGTCTCTTGGAGCCCGATCTAGTGTGACCCTGAACTCTGATCCTCCTGCCTCCACCTCCCAAGGGCTGGAATCACAGGCGTGACCCATGCACCTGCCTTGGATCAGATTCAGGAAGTAGCTGCATTGAAATATTTAAGTCAATTATGTGCCGTCTGTAACAGGGACGATTACAGTGGCATCGAAACATTTACACAAAGTGTTAATGACGTTGGGAAATGCTACAATGTGATATTAGATGAAAAATACCAGGATTTAAAATCGTATTTACAATATGAGTCTAGTTGTTTTTTTAAGAGCACCGAATGGCGCTGGGTTCAGTACTGGCAGTGAGGCCTCTCTGAAGATGGGGACTGTGATTTTTGACTGCACTTCAGGCTTTTCTGGGCCAGCCCCTTCTCTTCTGCCCTGCACAAACTTTTGTTCCTGTTCTTGTCATGCCCTGTGACTTGTCCCTCCTTGGGACTGTCCTCTGTGCTTTATACCCAGCCCCTTATTTAATCCTTACAGCCGTCCTGGGAAGTAAAAGGGCTTTGATGTTTTTGTTGTTGTTTTGCTAAGGTATTTATGGATACTCCAACATGTTTGGGCACAAAGTCACCCAGCTAGTATATGGGAGCCTTTGGAGTCCCACCCCAGCCTGTCTGTACTCCAAACGAGGTGGTCTGCTGCTTGCCCATATCCAGACAGTAAAGGTCCCATTTTTCTTCTCTAGGGGTTTTGTTTGTTTTATTTGGTATATTAAATTTTAAAAATTACATTCATTTAGTGTGGAGGTGGTGCTCCTGTACCGCAGTTTGTGTGGGAAGGTTAGAGGTCAACTTTTGGCAGTTGAGTTCCCTAGGACTATGTGACTTCCAAGGGTAGAACTGAGGTTAGGCTTGGCAACAGGCCCCTTACCCACAGAACCAGGTCCTGGCCTTGGTTCTGATTGTTGCAGTGCTGGGAGGCACGGAGGGGGGGTGTGTGAGAGTTACATCCCAGGCCATGTCATACACACTAGACAGGTGATGGTGCCCCATTTATTGAGCCAGACTTGGAGATTTGTTTGTATCATCCTTACCACCTCAGAGAGACCAAGCGAATGACCCAGAGTCACACAGCAAGGAAATGGTGGGGTGTGGGAGAGTCACGTGGTGTCATGTGGAACCCCTTTTTCTCCCACCCATCTTCAGAACTGCCCGAAGCCCTGCCGCCCTGGGGACCATGTTTAACGGGGAGCCTGGTCCAGCCTCAGCTGGGGCCTCCAGGAATGTGGTACGGAGCTCCAGCATCAGCGGCGAGATCTGTGGATCCCAGCAAGCTGGGGGTGGGGCCGGGACCACCACGGCCAAGAAACGACGCAGCAGCCTGGGAGCCAAGATGGTAGCTATCGTCGGCCTGACCCAGTGGAGCAAAAGCACACTGCAGCTCCCCCAGCCTGGTGAGGGGTGTGGGCACCAAGAGGTGGGGAAGGGGGAGCGGAGGAGGGGAGCATGATGTTGTTGAGTCCCCAGCGACTAAGGGTAGATGCACACTCTGCGAGTGCTTTATGAGTTGGTGTGTGTGATGTTCTATAGTCCTCAGTGGCCAACAGTAACAGCCCAGAGAGGGAAAGTCAGGTGCTTCAGACTGCACAGTGGAGGGTGGTGGCATCCGAACTTAAGCCCTAGTTGTCCCTCCCAGTTCCTGCTCTTTTTGTGCTGCTGCCTCCACACACTGACTTCTGCGTTTATCAGAAGTTATTTGAAACAGCCATGCTAAGGGACCCCACACTTTTGTAGACACATGCATCCTCACAATCCTGTTCTAGTTGTCATTTCTCAGTCCCCGTAGGACAAATAACCCCACAAATATAGTTGCATAGTCTCACAGAGGTGTTGCAAAGTCATAAGAGAGGGGCATGAACACATGGCTCTTGCAGTGACATGTCTAGAGTGTTCATTTGCTCAGGAAAGCGACTTCTAGTGCCAGGAAAGCATGGTCCAGTTATTCTCATTACACTGTCCGTGGTCACAAATAAACTCTAAATACTGCTCTCTGAACATAGACAAAAAGGCCTGAACACATCACTTAGATGCACACGCACCTCACAAAGCCACACATGTGCCTATGTAGGGAATGCATTTTCAGACATCTGCCTACAGAATTCCAGTTAAGTTCAGACTTGGGGGGACCCACCTTGTCTTACACAGCGACATGTGGCCCCCACCTCACAGAGGAACTTCTCCCCACCCAGACCGCCATTTGTGGCATTGGTCCAGACACCAGCTGGCTTTGTTTTAAATCTCTTCCTGCTTATTTTGCTCAGAGTAACAACTTCCCCCAAAAACCTTCAAGCAGGCAGCTGGACGGAGGTGGGGAAGGGTAGAAAGCTGGAGTATCAGGGAGAATGCTCATCAAGACGCCCCATTGGGGCTGGTATTTGGGGGTGCTTTTCCATACCTTAAAATAGATTTTTTACAAAGCTGTCTACAGAACACGGGGGATGGTCTTTTCCAGCACTCCAGCTCCATGTGCTTTCTGCTCAGGGAGAGACTAGATAGGAGGGTCTTGAGGTTATTAGTACCTTTGGGTGGACAGTGTAGGCTTGGAAGGAGGGAGCAGGAAGGTGGGAAGTTGGGCTGGGATAAAATGAATTATTACAAAGTCCTGGACATGTTGAACCCCAGAGGTCTGTGTCTGGTATTGTAAGCACAGGAATCCACCTCCAGACTCCACAGACATCTCCCACGCAAAGCGATTGGAAGAGACAGTCTCCAAGGCCAAGGCAGGGCCTGAATCTCTGGGAGACATTGGAGGGGTCTGCTGTGGCTTCAGACAGCAGCAGGCTGGGTGGGAGCAGATGCCAGGACAACCTGCTGCCTTGGGGAGAGACAAATGATGCTGGGCCCTCTGGATGCCTTGTCTTGGTGGGATGTAAGGACATGACTAAAGGCCCAAGGTCTGGGGCCAGGGGAATTGCCCAGATGCCTTTCCAAGTGCAGGTCCCTGTGAATCATCTAATCACTGAATGTCATAGCAGGAAGGGCCCTCGAGGTCATCCCGTCTGATGTACTCATTTATCTATGAGACTTCCAGAGCCCAAGGAGAAGGCCCTTCCCTGGAGAATGACCTCAGGCTGGCCTTTGCAGCCACGCCCCATCATTACTAGCCGGGTAGTTCAGACTAGCTGCTTCACGTCTCTGAGTCTGCTGTTTGTTTGTTGGAGACAAAATATGTGCTGTCCAGGGATTAAATAAGATAGATGTGCAAAGGTATCCAGCCTCTTGTGCATGGTACATGGGAGGCGCTCAGAAAAGCGTTGGTACTTTTCTAAAAGGTTTATTTTTTATTATTTTTAATGGTGTGCGTGTGGGCATGCGTTCGTGTGTGCATGTATGTCTGTGTGTATGCATGCACGTGTGCGTATGTTCATACATCCGTGCATGTACACGTGTAAGCTTTGAGTATGCCAGCGCCTCAGCTTGGAGCATCATCCTGGCTGGGAAACTCTGGGACTACAGGCCAGTATGTGGTCACTTCACCAGGGATTGCTGCTCTGAGAAGAGGTCTCAGAAGGGCGCCCCTGTTGCCCCAAGTGGAACAGCTTGATTCCCTGTAGGGCTGGGCTATGGGGAGTCAGGAAGAATTCCCCTCCTGGGTCCAGCCCTTGGGGCTCCTGGCCTTCTCTTGCAAGAACCCCACTCCCCCAGTTCATTGATACCCTTTTCCTCTTTGTTCCTTTGCCCCAGTTTACATAGTCTGGTCCCCCTAGACCTCTGCCTGTCTGCCCGCTCCCTGTTTGTCATTATGCTGCCCTATTGCAAGCCTCCAGAATCTCACCCTATGCTTGAGAGCTCTCCATGGGACTTTCCGGTCGGGCCTCAGTTTCCTCTTCTGTAAAATGGAGCTAACAATGCACTCTCCCAACTTCCTTTGGGATCTGTCAGTTCTCTAAAATGTAGGAGCAATGAAGGGTGGGGCTGGAGTTTTAGGGTCCTAGGACCTAAGTAAAATCAGGCCTGGCATTAGTTAGACTGAGCCCACATGCAGTCATGCGGGGTGGAAGCAGCCTCTTTCTTAAATGTCCAGTACCAAGGACAGAGATCTTCCTGCCTGAGCCTAAGATGTTACCACAAGCCAGACTGCCTGTCTTCTGCATGTGATGGGACAAGGAACACTGAATTATTGCAACCACTTGGACCAGCTCTAGAGAGAAACCATAAAGTATTCCTTGGGTCAGCAGGGGCCGAGGCTGGACAGGAACCAAGCCAGTGGGAGGATTTTTCTCTTGAGTTTGCGAGACCTTTCCCCCTTCCCCTGAAGACACAGGAGTTTAATCTCTGCTGAGTCACAGCTCCAAGAGAGGAAGCATCGAGGAGGGAAAGTGACATTGTCAGAGGGCAAGGAGTCTGAGGGCTTGGTGGCCTGTGGGATGGGGGAGGAGCCTGGAGAAGTCTGACCTTTCAGGATTCTGCGCAGTTCCCACTCACGGGCGCTCACACTGCGTTGGGCAAATCTTATCTAAGAAGGTAATTTCACTTCCAAATGGGCCGGAGCTTTCCCAGGCTCTAAAAGAGCGTGTGTTGAGGGGGTGAAGATGTGAGGGGGAGGCAGAGTGATTTTCAGCCCCCCCCTCTTCCACACAGACATCTGTCTTCTAACTGGGCTAGAGGGGATGAGGCGATTAGGAGCCAGGGACGGAGAGAGTCCCATGCTAGGTCACATGCCATGTGTGGGTGGACATGGTTATGTGTGGTGAGTAGACGGCCTCAGTTCTAGGTATTAAAGATCACCTATATATAACTTGTCTGACAGTGTACATTATGTCCATGTAAGATTCGGAGGGCCTGTGTAACTTTGTATAAACAGACACATGATATCATACATGAGATTAGTGTATTTATATATGTGATAATAAGCATTCCTGTGTGTCTGTTTTATGCATATGTAAGAGAAATATGCCTGAGCTAAAATGACTGTGTATGCGTGTGTGTGTGTGTGTGTGCATGTGTGTGTGTCACAGTAGCTTGCATTGCGTTTAGAGAACACATCTTTCTGCACGTTGCCCCTGTTCTCATCACCCCTCCTCCATCACCCTATCTGCTAGTATTTGCCCTCCTGACCTTCTCTCATCCAGTAGGGACATCCTGAAGGGTAAGTAGGGCAAGGCAGGAAGAATAAGCCTTCCTTTCCCAAGCCGTGGACTTGAACATTCTCTCGCCAGCCCTCTATCGGCTGCCTTCAGGGATAAGTGTGCCGCCACCCTGCCCTAGGCACCCTTGCCCGCCACTCAACTGACAGTTTTCTTGGGCCTATAACTGGTGGCGGCAAATGGCTCCTTTGGTACAGTCTCTGAGTGCCACTTCCCTCCCCGTCAAGTTGCTCAGCAATCAAGCTTTAGCAGGGGAGTCCCTGCAAAACCCCAGCCTGTCTCCCCTCCCCACCCCCGCCCAGGAGGAGAGCTGTCTAGAGGGACCACACTGCAATGCTAAGGAGGTTGCCATGGAAACCCAGGCAGGCTGGTTTGCTACTCAGAGAGGGAAAGTGCCCTGTGTTTCCTGCCAGGCTGGGGATGGGGCTGGGGGCCCCTGAGTAGAAGGTGCAGAGACAGGGTGAAGGGTTCTGCTGTGGACTTTCTCCAATCCAGTATCGGCCCAGGTCAAGCTAGCCACCCCACCCCTCCTGGAGTCTCGCCTTGCAAGGTCCAACTTGACATTTGTGATGCTCTCTGTTTTTTAGACTTACCTTGAGGAGGCAAGTTTCAAATGGTCAGGCTCCCAATGGGGTTTTTCTAGGGCAGCAGAGAGGCAGTCTTTGAGTCTGGTAGGATATCCAAAAGAGAGAAAGTAAATCTGGAAATCCCATAACAGACAAACTTTCCAGAAATGAGAGAAAGGGGCTCAGACGGAAACAGAATGGAAAGGCAGAGTTAAGAGAACCTAGTGGAGAGGGAGGGCCCCCAAGGTCGCAGGACCTGTAGCTAGCTGCATTCTATTGGGGCGCACAGCATGTCCCTGGGCAGCTTTCTCTGTACCATGACCCTGCTGGACTTGACCAGTCTTAGGGTCAGCTCAATGGTGTCCCAGCCTTAGCAGGTCCCCCCACCTGCTTCTGCCCAGAGGATCACTTTGGTAGCACTCTTTGAGAAGTCTAGGCCATGTTTTGACTTTGTTCCCTCTCTCTCCTCGGGTCGGGGACCCCAGAAGGGGCCACTAAGAAGCTGCGCAGCAACATCCGACGGAGCACGGAGACCGGCGTTGCGGTGGAGATGCGGAGCCGCGTCACACGCCAGGGCAGTCGGGAGTCTACAGATGGGAGCACCAACAGCAACAGCTCCGAGGGCACGTGCGTCCACCTGCCAACTTGGTTTCCAGCCAAGATGTTTGCACACCTCCCTGCCCCAGTCTCCCTTCCCCTCTCCTAGATATCTGGTCCCCGGGTCCCAGGTCTTCCCGGGGCCCCCAGCAGAACACCTCAGAGAAGCACATCATTTGGTCTTTTGTTTCGGAAGGGACGCAGGCTTCCTGTCTCCCGCCCTCCCATCACCTGCCCTGCTCCAGAGGAGATGAGCCGAAAGGAAAATGTGACCCTAAATTCCTTTTAAGCCTAAGCTCATTTTCATGGCTTAGTTGTGTGAAGTCTCTATGAATCACCTTGCTTGGAGATTAAGGAAGGAAATTGGACCAGATCAGTGTGTTTAGAACTGTCACGTCTTACCTTGTGACTCCTAGGCAGGAAGGAGAATCGCTGTGGTGGGTCAAAAGCAGCATTAGAGGAAGAACTAGAAAACGCAGGGGCGCCTGTGTGGCCCTGTGTGGCAGGGGCGACTGTGTGGCAGGGGCGCCTGTGTGGCCCTGTGAGGCAGGGGCGCCTGCGTGGCAGGGGCGGAGGACGGCCGGGAGACCTTAGTTGAGCTCTCCATCCAGGATGCACGTAAGTCAGCAATGCGCTGCGGTGTTGACAGCCCTTTTCCTTCTGCATGTGAGCTGGAGTAAGCGTTTGAAAGTCGCTTACACTGTTCAAAATCAGAGTTTGTAGGTGTTCTGCTTCTGTCTCATCAAGGCCCTATTTTCAGTCTTGAGATCGTGTGGCTTATTTAATATTGAGTTATTCTCTCTCACCACTGTGCAGTGAGCCCTTGGCATCCTATGGGATTGGTTCCAAGACCTCGCATGGATCTAAAACCCACAGCTTCTTGAATCCCTTAGATACACTGGCATAGTGTTTGCACAGTACCTGGACACATCTTCCTGTGTACATCACGTCCTCTCTCGATCACTCGTAACACCCAGTCAAAGCTAAATGCAGTAGAGATACTCACACAGGAATTTCTGTAAAGCTTGGGCTGGTGTTGAATTCAGAATTCTCCTGCCTCAGCCTCCTGAGCACGGGCATTACAGGTGTATACCCCAATTCCCAGCCTAGATGGTATTGTTTAAAGAATAATGATAAAAAAAAATCTGTTTGTGCCCAGTACAGACAACTTTTTTCTTCATACTTTCTATCTATGGTTGGTTGAATCCACAGATGCAAAAGCCATAGACACAGACAGCCAACTGTATCTTCTACCATGGAAACAAGTAGTAAACAAGGAGTTTACTACCTCCTACCTTGTCCACAGCATTGACGGTACCTCAGGCTAGTGACTCCCTGTCTGGAAGCCATGTGCTATGGTTTAACACTTGTACGTACCCTGAGTGAGTGCGGACAGCACCCGTGTCTCCTTTTACAAGTGAGGGAACTGGGGCTCCTGGACGGCAGAGGCTCTTTACCCACCAGCACACTTTTTAGGACACAAGCCACTGTCTACACCAAGGTCACGTGGTTCCATAACCTTTATTCATAATCTCTGTACTGTATACTAGTCACCCCCACCCCTGCCCCACTCCTGAGACTTTGAGTCTGCATCTCTCCGTTTCCTCTGAGGCTCACTGTCCTCAGAATGTGACGCGAGGAGTGGGTGTGGTGGTGCACACCTGTAAACCCAGCACCTGAGAGGTGGAGGCAGGACCAAGAGTTTAAGGTCAGAGACTTAACTACATAGTGTGTTCCAAACCAGTCTGGACTATATAAGAGGCATTATGTCAGTAAAAGAGGGGTGGGTGGAGAGAGCAAGAGGAAGACCAAAACATGAGAGGGCTGGGGAGCGGCTCAGTCAGTAACATGCTTGCTGTACAAGCGTGAGAAACGGAGTGGAATAGAGGTCTCCAGCACCCGTGTAAAAAGGCTGGACGTGCCTATAATCCCATTATTGAGAAGACAGACAGGATCCCTCGGGCTTGCTAGCGGCCAGTCTTTCCAAATCTACAGACTCTAGGTTCAGTGAAAGATTATCTAAACAATTAAGGTAGAAAATGATTGAGGAAGATACCCAATGATGATCTGGCTCTTGAATACACACACACACACACACACACACACACACACACACACACAGAGAGAGAGAGAGAGAGAGAGAGAGAGAGAGAGAGAGAGAGAGAGAGAGAGAGAGAGCGAGCATGCACATATATACCCACCTTAATCCACAAAAAGAATGACACTAGGCTATTGTTGATCATGGTTAATAAAAGTAGATGCCTTGAAGCCACTTCCTGAAGGTGGAAGATGAGCCTTGTAAGAGAAACACAGGTTCTGTCCCATAAACCCATTGCTCCCTGCCCGTCACTGACCACTCGAGTCCCTATTCCAAACTGTCCAACAGGTGTTCGTCTCTGACCCACCTTTTATGGCGGCCACTAAGAGAGCTGTATATTCTAGTTCATGTGGCCCTTGAGCAAGCTATCCCTGTTGGCTGTACCCAGAACATCTGGGCCTGAGGACACGAAGGCAGCGGAGGCAGAAGCTAAATTCATTGCCATTTGTTGTATCTCGTGCTTCTAGAACTTTTCCTTCACACCATCCCCCAGCGAGCCAGGTATCACCCCTGTTGCAGACAAGCCTAGTCTCTTACCTCTTGGAAATGCCTGTGTCATCTGTAAAATTGGATACTGGCTCCTACCACATAGCCTCACGGACTGTTCAGTGCGCCGCTGGCAGCTGGCCCACTTTCAGTCACTGTTGGTTTTTCTTGTTACTGTTTCCAGCCCCTCCCCTCCAGTCACAGACCACCCACAATCACCTGCCATTCATCACAACCTCATCCTTAGGTTATTTTGGTCCCTGCTGCCGTTTTGAGAACCACCTCACCTTATTGACTTGAATTTTAAATTTCTGGTTTAAAAAAAAAAAAAAATCAAACCTCAGTTCTTGGAACTCATTCCAGGCCCGTAAGAGTCCATCCAGCTTGTCTCTCATTGTTGGCCTTGGCATGCTTTCGTGGGAATGCCTGTGTCCAGTAAGCCCTGCCCTCTAACGCTCACTTCGGAAATCTCTGGGGCTTGGGCTGGGATGTAGCTCAATTGGTAGTATGTTTGTCCAGCATGCATGAAGCTCCCGGGTCCATCCCTAGCACTGTGTAAGCTGAGCATGCTGGTACGTGCCTGCGATCCCAGAAGGCAGAGCTGTCTTGATCAGGAATTCAGGGTCAACCTTGACTACATCATGAGTCTGGGGCCAGCTTGGGATGCACAGGACCTTGTTTCAAAAAATAAGAATTCAATGTCTTAAATTAGTCTCTTTCTCCCTCTCTCTTTTTTTGTGGTTTTTCGAGACACGGTTTCTTTGTAGCTTTGGAGCCTGTCCTGAAACTCACTCTTGTAGACCAGGCTGGCCTCAAACTCAGAGATCCGCCTGCCTCCCAAGTGCTGGGATTAAAGGTGTGTGCCACCACTGCCTGGCTTCATTAGTCTCTTTAATGATATTAAAATATCTTTCTCTAAGCCAGACACTGCTTGTTACCCACTTAGGAGACTGAGGCAGGATGGTCATGACTCTGAGGCTAGCCTTGGCTACGTAGTGAAGTCTAGGTCAGCCAGAAAGAAGTACACAGTGGGACTGTCTAGATCATGAATCCTGAAATATCTTCACTGTGCAGCAGTGAATAAGTGTTCACTCCCCGTTAGAGTGATGTAGTCACACTCTAGGTGAGAAACGGAGCCATGGCTCCCCACATGCAGGGCCCCTGATCCGTCCTCACCGTCCTCACCGCTTGCCCCTGCTGCCCTCACATGCCCTCTGCTTTCTTCTGCAGGTTTATTTTTCCCACACGGCTTGGAGCTGAAAGCCAGTTCAGTGATTTTCTGGATGGCCTGGGACCAGCCCAGATTGTGGGGCGACAAACGCTGGCAACACCTCCCATGGGTAAGTCTTGTGGAGGAAGGACAGCAGAGGGAGCTCAGTGGGGCCCTGTGTGCAGCAGGAGCGACAAGAGCCCCAGCCTTCCTCTCCTCGCTGCTCGGCAGCAGCTTTTCCAGACGTGTGTGGGTCCCCCTACCCCGCAGTCACCCTCCCCTGCTGTGTAAATGTGTAAACCGAGTCACAGTGTAGGCTCCTGCTGACCTTCTCTGACTGCGGGCAAATAAGCCACTTCCCTTCTCTACCCCTTGATTTCCTCGTCGGGGGGGGGGGGGGGAAATGGTATCAGTAATCCTGCTTTAGTCTCCAGTCTCAGAACCCGTCCTGAGCTCCTGCTAGATTCTTCCTGTAAAGCATTTTAATGTTCTCCTTAGGAGCTGTGGCTAATTGGACCTCTTACTCCCAGCGGCCTCTGGCACCAGGGGACCTTTAGCCATTTTCTCATCTCTTCCTGGCAGCTAGGAAGTGCTTCTCAAAGCCCACATCGGGTCCTCTTAGCAGCTCTCAGAGCTTCCGGTCCATGACCGGGCAGGCCTCCCCATCAGTCTGACCTGAACTTTGCCTGATCCAGATGTCTCGTCTCAGCCCCGTTCTGACGGTCCTCGACTTTTTGGCCCTCACGGCGGGAGAGAGAAATGAGCACAGGGGAGCTGGGATTCCGGGATGGTTTAGAACTCTGTATGTGGCACTGTCCTTTTCTTGGGGTAGGGATCCCCAAGACCCTCAGAGTTAAGGTTCACTCTCTTCTGGCCCTAGGTATTGGATTTGTTTAATTCTGAGATTTCGGTTGGTACTGGAGCCTGCTCAATATCCCAACCCCTTATCCCTATAAACACTGAGGAGTGCCAGCCATTTCCATGTCTTCGGTGACCCTTCAGAACCTAGAATATTTTGTGTGTGGTGCCCCCTTGTGTTCCAAACCAGGAAAGACAAGTGTACATTCACTTAGGCATCTCGTGATAGGTTGAGATTCTTTGGTCTCATGGCCGAGGCCAGCAATCTCTCACTGGAGGAAGAAGGATGAGCTTCAGCGTGTCTCTGGATGTGGTGAATCCCGCCCCCAAAGTTTGCAGATACCAGCAATAACATGGTGGCTCTGATGTTTGACTGAACTCTCTCACCCATTTAATATTTGGGGGAAGGGGGGGGGGAGGAGGTAGACAGACCAAGTTTATAATTCTACACCCATTTGAAAAGTGTTCCAAACAACTACTATATGATTCTAAACTTAGCTCACCCACGATGAAGTCAGCCTGACCGAAGCCTTTCCCGTTTTGGAGTGAGTTAAGAACTCTCAGCTTTCAGCACGCAGGTGGTGGGGCCTACCCTGCTCCCTTTGTCCAGGGTCAAAGATGTCCTGGGCAGGCTCACAGTTTGGCATCTCTTTGCATGGATACTCTTGTATCTGTCTGACATATACTAAAGAGACTTGCCTGTTCTATGTAGTAAACCAGGTCAGTGAGTTTGGCAGCCCCTTGAGGGTCATTCCCCCGTAGCCTGTTGCAGTCTTCGTCAGTCCCCTTGATGTGATCTTCTGAGAGTTTGCTCTGTCACTGGGCACCCCCTGCAGAGTGGTGTCCTCTGCTCCATCCTCCAGCCGCCCCATCCCGCTTCACCTGGATTCCGTCCTTCTCCCTTGCAGGAGATGTGCACATTGCCATGGTGGACCGGAGCGGTCAGCTGGAGGTGGAAGTGATTGAAGCTCGAGGCCTGACCCCCAAACCAGGCTCCAAATCCCTCCCAGGTGAGGCTGAGCAGGTGGGAGATTTGAGGAAGGATCCTGGCTGGGATGGGGTACTAGCAAGTCCTGAGCACACCAGTGAGTGCCCTTAGAGCCGTGCTGCTGACAGTGACTCAAACCTCGCCTGGAAGGCGGGTGGGCAAGGTGATCCAGCTTGTCCCACCCCTCCCCTACCCCACCCCCTACCAGAACCACCTGGAGGGTGGAGACTAGGCAGGCTATGGCATCTCTCCCAACCATGCTCCTTCATTTTCAGCCACCTATATCAAGGCTTACCTGCTGGAGAACGGGGCATGTGTGGCCAAGAAAAAAACTAAGGTGGCCAAGAAGACCTGTGATCCCTTGTACCAGCAGGCTCTGCTCTTTGACGAGGGGCCCCAAGGCAAGGTGCTGCAGGTCAGTGTTTACAGGGTAGCCCTTCAAGTTCAGGTCAAGCATCAAACCATTTTACATCACCTCTTTTATTATTGTGGGGGTACACTTGTGCGGGGGGCACACGTGTAGAGTGGAACCACTTCTTTCACCTTGATGTGGCTTCCAGGGATTGAATGAGGTCCTCTGTAGAAAGCACTTCACCTGCTGAGCCGTCTTGATTTCTCTCTCCCCTTCCCTCCCTCTTCTTGTTCCGCATCAGTTCATAGGGTTTAGAGCCTAGCCAAATAGCTCCCCAGTTCTCCCAGCTGGGCAGGAGAAGCCTGTGCTTTGTACCTCACTGGGTACTGGGTGTTGCTAGGTGCTCTCTAGAGTGATTCGGGTCTTTCTCAGAACCGATCCTGGGAAGGAGGTGTGGTTTCCCCATCTTACAAATGAGAAGGCGGGGTCTCAGATGAAGGGACTGCCCAGTTGAGAGGAGCAGAAAGGAGCCCAAGTCTAGGTGACTCAGGCCTGCCAGCTCCTTGAGAATACATGTATTGGCGGTGACTCTTCCTGATGAGCGCTAGGGGGCGGTGTTGCCTTATCGTTCACGTAGGCCTAGGTGATGTTCCTGAGCTTAGGGTGTGTGGAGAAGAGAAGAGATGGCCCAGAGGTTAAGAGTGTGTACTACACATAACAGTTCCTGATGTTGTGGTGACCCACAACTGCCTTAGCTCCAGCCCTAGGAGGTCCCTGTACCTAGGCACCTGCCCTCGTGTTTATGCATGCATATACATATACACAGTTTTTTGTTAAGAGTTTTTCACATAGGTAGCCAGCCACTAAGTTAGAAGTGGTGGTGGCTTGTCTTGCCTTTTCTTTGTAACAAACACCTGAGATTCATTCTAAAGGAGAGAGTTTTGGATACTCAGGTCAGTTGGGGCTGTGGAGACAACTGCTCACCTCAGGGCACTTGGGAAGTCAGAAGAGCCTGGAATCCCATAATCCCCTCCAGGAATCCAGCTCTGATGTTTGGGTTTTTTTTGTAAATTTTTTAATATTTATTTATTATGTGTACAATATTCTATGTGTATGTCTCCAGGCCAGAAGAGGGCACCAGACCCCATTACAGATGGTTGTGAGCCACCATGTGGTTGCTGGGAATTGAACTCAGGACCTTTGGAAGAGGAGGCATGCTCTTAACCTCTGAGCCATCTCTCCAGCCCCCAGCTCTGATGCTTTTAATCTTCCAGTTAGTCCAACTCACGGCAGGCTGTTCCTCCGAGCTGTGATGGTTCTGTTGAAAGGGCCCATGGGGTTACCAACCTAAGAACTGCTGAACTCTAGCTAGGGTTGTGGGGTAGAGGCCCAATATCAGATGTCTGGTTTTAAAGATGTTTGAAAAATTGAGCTAATCTCTTCCTCCTCGAGTTCCAGATGGAGATAGGGCAAGGGGCTTCTTCAGGCCCACAGCAGAGTGGAGCTATGACCCAGGCCCTGGACATGGTCTGTTCCTTGATGGAGAGAGCTGCTGCCTGGGGTGCTGGGACGTCTGGAACCAGATCCGCCCAGGATCTGATCCCAGATCACTGTGGGGCATTGTGTTGGTTAATCAAATCTCTGAGCCACAGGGGGAAATGTGTTACAACAGTTGAGCTGTATGGCCCCCATAGGATCCAGTCTTCTGTGTCCCAGGTGCTCAGAAAGTACCTATCCATATCAAGTTTAATTCCGACCCTCCCATCTGTGCCCTGGGGAAGCAGGTAGGTTCCTGGGCCCCCTGCCCAGTCCTGGAGGTTCAGTGCCTCACTCTTCCTCCCCCTGCTGCCAGGTGATCGTCTGGGGAGACTATGGCCGTATGGACCACAAGTGCTTCATGGGCATGGCCCAGATCATGCTGGACGAGCTGGACCTGAATGCCGCGGTCACCGGCTGGTACAAACTCTTCCCCACATCCTCTGTGGCCGACTCCACACTCGGATCCCTTACCAGGCGTCTGTCCCAGTCCTCTTTGGAGAGTGCCACCAGTCCCTCCCCCTCGTGCTCCTAAGGACCTCAAGGAGAACCAGAGGCCAGGGGCTGGGGGGGGGGGGAAGGGAGCCTGTGGCCTCACTGCCCCCTGTACATAGTCTCTGTGTCTTTCTGGACCCCTCGCCCTGCTGCATGCCCAATGACCGCTGGGCTTGTCCCAGCTGGCAGTGGAGACTGTAGTGTGTGTCCATGTATGTTTGTGGTGTGTGTGTGTATGTGTCCGTGTCCACATTATATCTATGTGTCTGGGTACAGTCAGTCCTGGTGACCACATGAACTGCAGTCCATGTCTCTGTATCTTGCTGGAAAGAATCCAAAGGAACATCATGTGGCCACGTCTTGCCCCTGGAGTCTGCAGGGGTGGAAGTAGGGGATGTGGCCACTGGTGGGCCTTGCTTAGCCCCAGCCTGGGTGTCTTATGGTCTCCACTTGGTTTTTCGTCCCGTCTTGTTTCTTTGCCTCTCCCAGCATTGCTGCTCTTTTTTGAGGAATGTAGCATCCATTGCAGCTGACTAGGAATTCAGTCTCTTCCCCCTACCCCAGCCGAGCTGGTGGTCATCCCATTGAATGCATCCACAGCATGTGGCATGCTCACCCCGAGCTCTACCCCGCCCTCCGGGAAGACAGAGGCTGTCTGAGGAGGAGGGGCCTTGAGAGTGTTTTTCTCTGGGGATGGCACCGTCTTACAGACCATGTACAAGAGAGCTGAGTTCCAGGGTGCTGTCCAGACACGCTAGGGGACGTGCTAGGATCTCTTCTCCCCTAGAGTGTGCTCCAGCGTGCCAAAGGAGCTCCCAGTGGGCCCTAGGAGGGTTCCCTGTCAAAACAGATGGCCTTCTTAGGCATCAAGGATGGACCTGTCCCCTTTTGGGCTTGTCCCTGAGGGAGCAGGCTTGGTAAGAGGTGTCATGGGTGGGGCTGCTTGCTGAAGGAAGGAGGGCTATGGCGGAGTTATGCTGAGGCACTCACTGTCCAGAATCCTGTCTGACCTGGAGATTAGCTGCATGAAGCTGCTCTTCAGGGTTCTGCTTTCTTCGCTCATCTGTAGACACTAGTCCCCAGCTGAGGTCCTGGCTCCCCAGGCCTCCAGCCTCCTAGCTTCATGAGCAGCCTGGCTCTGCACTCGAGGGTGCCTCTGTCACCAGCTCTGTACCAGCAATACTCACCCGTCCACCTCCCTCCTTTCTCAAGTGGTCCCCTGCTCCTCTGGGCAGTGGCCTGCATCTGCTTCACTACTCCCCCCACCGTCTGGTTGGGGCTCCTCCCAACCGCTAAGAACCCTGTTAGAGGGCCTAGTGCTTGGGCCAGAGCCTGAGATGGCTGTTGTTACTCCTAAAGGCTAGCTCCAGAATGCTGTATCTGTTCCTCCCCTCTTTAGCTATAGGGTGGAATTGGAGGCTGCCTGGGAGATGGCAGAGCAGCCCTGGTTCATATCCAGTAGGAAGAAGGAGGTGCTGGCGATAGGGGAGAGGAAGGCTCTCTTTCTGCTTCTCTTCCAGCCCATCTCCAAGTATGGCCTTGCCTCTAGCCCAAGTACCTAGGCAGGGAGAGCTACCAGGGTAACTGAAAAATCCTTGGCATGTGTGTGAATTCCATTTGTACCAAAGCTGGGGTGCTTAAAGCCAGCCCAGCCCAATGGCCTCCCCATAGTCAGTCTTGCACCCTCCTTTCAAAGAAAGGTAGTGAAGAAGCCCCCACACGAACTGAGGGTGAAGGGGAAGATAGTGAACAGGGCTGAGGATGTCTGTGCAGGCAGGTGAGGGAGGGAGGTGGTGGTCTAGCTGGGGAGAATATGTATCTCTCATATCAGTAGACACGGGATAAAGTGCTCTGACCTCCAAGCCTTGATGGACTGGGGGCAAGGAGGAAACTGGCTAGCAAAAGGCTGCTTTCATCTTGCTTGTGGTGTGTGCACTGTAAAGCAGTTATTCTCCGGGTGGTGTGAAAGCCATCTGGAGCAGAGGAGGGTCAGTGACCCACTGACAGCATAGACCTTTGCTGATGTGGCACTAGTCACCTTCAGGAGTGGGCGCTGCCAGGAGAGAGGCTCCCAACCTTGCAGTTTCTCATTCCCGAGGGTCAGCCCAGAGGATGTGCTAGAGCCAGAGGAAGGGGTGATGCGCTGAGAATTCATGCTGGCTTGCCTGCCCATGGGCAGCGACTGTAAACTGCCTAGGAGGTGGGCACTTGGCTGTCCCGCCCCTCTCATGGAAGGTAACCCTTGCCCCAAATTGATCTTGGGGAATTCCCTCTTGTTAACACTAAATAAGTAATCCCACCTAGACTCTTAGCCACAGATGTGGGTTGTGTAAGGCTGTACATGTATTAGAGAGGCTGGATTTCAAGGTCTGTTTCTCAGCACCCTGGATGCAGGGCTCCACCGGGATGCCATTCTAGAGATAGCTCTGCCCCAGAAGAGGAGTGTGACCCTTGCCTGGGCTGAGAGCCATCTGCCCTTTGAGTAAAGGACAATGGGTCAAGAAGTAACTGGGTGCTTGTGAGTTCCCTTAGCAACAGGCCACTTCACGTAACAGTCACAGGAGTGGAACTCAGTCATCCCGTCTCCTGTAGGCGGGCCAGATTCACGCCATGGCTGAGACAGGCAGGAGTGACCCCGCAGCGATGCTGGACTCTGGGCAGTGATGAATGACTCAGAGCATGTGTCTCTGTATTTCTGCCCTGCCTGGCCTGTCCCACTTTCTGACAGATGCCTTCCCTACAAGGAAGTCAGAGATGGGACTCTGATAGGAAACATTCTCTAGGAAATGGGCCAAGTCTTGGTTTGACAGGGGGACATTTGGTCCTTTGGGGAAGAACCAGTTCCAAAGGCGCTCTTATCCAGTTTCTCCTCCCACCCAGCTTGACTGAGCATCACCTGTTCAGCGGGTCCCGGGCAATGCCAGGATGCCATGGGGTGGAAGCAGAACCAAGGGAAGCTCTAGAGAGGCGGGGTGGTGGTGGTGCCTGGGTGGTCCTGCACTGGGATCCAGCTCACTCTCCCAGGGGCTCGACCCCCCCACCAGGGAAGCATGCCAGCTCTTCTTTACTGCCAGCCTGGGGGAGACCAGCAGCCTCCCTTTTTTAAAGACTATTGAGCCCTCCTAGGGCATTTCTATGGAAACGAAATGTAGCACAATCTTCGACTGTGTTCCCAGGAGCCCTGTCCTACCCCGGGGCCTCCCACCGTGGGTTCCGCTTTTCCCAGCGACCCAGAGCTCCTCATACCTCATGTTCTCCATCACCCTTGGCCTAGGAAGCAGTGGCACCCCAGCGAGGCTGCCCTTCTGTGTTCTTCCGATTGCGTCCAGCACTGTGCAAACTCTTTTAAGAAGTCTGCCTTTGACCGAGGTCGCTCTCCACCAGGTGGGGAGATGTGCTACTTCATGTGGGGCCTGGAGCTGGCCCAGCAGCATTTCTGTAGTGGCCACAGGGAGGTGGACAAGAAGAGGCCTGCTTCCCTAGCACCTCCTCCTCTCCTGTTCCTCAGCTGTCTCCAGCGTCCTGACACATACAGACTTGTGCTTGTGAATCGGCCCCCTCTCCTGCATCATCGTCTTCCGCTGGATGATCAGCGTGGAGATGGAAACAGACTCCTTCCCTGCCTTCTCCCTCCAGTCTGCTTCTAGCCCAGGTCCAGAGAGGCTGGGGAGATCAGCCGCCATCAGCGAGATCAGGCGTGACAGGATGGTGGCAGGATCGGCCTGGCCTGGCTGGGAAAGGGTCATTTTGAGAGTGCCTGAGCATCTTAGAGCAATGTCAGTGATGCCAAAGAGAGCGACTTGGCCTCCTTGGGCACCAGCTCTGTCGGTGGAGCTGGACAGACACAGATCAGACGTTGGCATGCCCAAGGGAAGGTCCTTGTTCTCTGACAAAGGGCTTAATCTTTCCATGTAGCAAAGCGACTCCCCTCCCCCGACCCTGAGTATGGGCTCCTGTGGGCCCAGCATGGCTGTGCCTGTACGAAAAGCTCTGTGAGTGAGAGACCTAGTCTTCTGTCTCAGCAGGTGCTCCTTGGACAGCATTGCTTTGGAGAAACTGGCTCTGGCTGGACACTCGCCAGCAGGGACAGGGCCTTGTGCCTGCCAGGAAGTCCATACTGATGCCAGGAAGGGTCGCTGGACCTGAGCATCTGCCCCTTAGCCAATGACCTGGACAGGGATGGCTCTTCTGTACTTTTTATTTTCCTCTCTTTTTGCCAGAAACTGTGACCTTGTGTGAGACTCCTCACGGGGCCTTGGCGTCCTCCTCTGTAAACTGGAACATTAGCTAGCTGCTCCATGGCTCCCTCCAGGCTTTGGAAGTCTGTGACTTGGCATTGAGGGTGGTGAGAGGCCAGGTTCGTCTCCCTTGGTTCTCATGCTGGGAGCGGGTCCTCATTTGGTCCTTGCTCAGATAATGCTCCTGACAAGAGAACCCCAGAGTCCAACAAACATGGCTTCACCTCTTTGTGAGTTATGTGTGTCCCACTCCCTTTCGTCACTCTCTGGTCTTGGTGAGAAAGGACTTTCTAAGGTCCCGAAATGTCACCACCTCAGCTGAATCCTGAGTAGGGCCATTCCCCATTCTGCTTCTAGCTGACAGCCCAGAAAGAGTGGACGCTCAGAACCTTTTAAAGGCGTTCTTTGATGGGACAAGAGAAGGAACTTCCTCCCAAATATTTGGCTTTTTAAAACCCCTTCTCCTTCCCAAATGTCTTCTCCCAAGCGTTATCTCGGAAGACAGAGTGGCTGCTTCCTCAGGGAAAGCAGACCTGAGATTTCTAGCGTGGAAACTCACAGGAGGCAGGAACCCCTTTTTTAGACTTTCCAAATGTATCCTGCAAAGAGAGAAAGCGAGAGCCGTTAGGGACCGACAAGCACACTGTTTAGATATCTGAGCTCTCCGCAGTTTCTGTGTGCAGCGTCTTCACACGGTGGCTCCTGGATGGCAGGTGGACAGCTGGGAGGGAACGCCGGCTGTCTCATGTGACATCCTTGCCAATCCCCTTGAGGAGAAAATTCTTCACACGGCTTCTGCATGTACAGTATTTGGGCAGAAAAAAAATTAAAGTTCATTTGAAATTGGTTTCACGCGTGGCTTTCTGATGATTGAATAATGAAAGAGACAGGGGACGCTGCCTTGGCCGAGAGACAGCAGAGGCGTACAGCTCATAAAAGGCACGGCCCCTGCTGGGAGCTTAGCTGCTACTGCGACACTCCTGAGCCATGGAGTCAGACTGGCCAGTTGGTTTCCCAGGGTGGTCTCCCAGGGACCCTTGTTTACTGGCCCTCAAGGTTTTCTGTCTCCACAGACTCCACAGGGCACACCTCAATAGAGCAGACAGGAAGGACAGAGCAAAGGCCGCTCAGGTATAAGGTGACTCTGCCTCACCTGATAGAAACAGCCAACAGTAGTCGAGCTCTGGAGTTGGGGGTCTTGCAGTAATCACTGACCTCGGCAGCACCCTTTGCCCTCCCTGTTCCTAAAAGATGTGAAAATCCTAAATACAAACCGTGAATTCCAACAGCTGCTAAAACGTAGCACAACATGATTAAGCAGTGTTTATCATCAGCATGCAAGGTATATCATTATTATTAGAAAAATTCATCTCTGTAATTTACTATATTAATAGATAAAAGGAGAAAATGTGTTTATCCTAATACAGAAAAGACATAAAGGTTTAGCCTACTTATAATAATAAAGAACTCCTAGCACACAGAAGGTGACTTTAATTTGATAATCATCATATATCAAAAAACAAAAGCAGGGCTTGAGAGAGGATGGCTCACTGATTAACAGTACCTAGGGCTCTTCCAGAGGACCAGGGTTCCAGTTGCCAGCACTCACAACTGCCCCTAACTCCAGTTCCTGAGGTTCTGGTGCCCTTTTGTGGCTTCCACCAGCTTTCTCTCACACACAGTACACACAGACAAGTGGACATGTACACATACACTTAAATGTTAAAAGTACAGTTGCTGGGTAATATGATCTGTCCCTATAAACCCAGCACTAGAGGGGCAGAAGCAAGTGGCTCTCTGAGTTTGAGGCCAGCCTGTTTTATATATGAAATTCTAGGCTATCCAGGGATACATAGACTGTTTCAAGAAGGAAATAAATAATTTTCATTTAAAGGTGTGTGTGACTACAGATGTGGTTGGAAGGGTTATATCCTGCACGTGCCAGTGCTTGGGTTTGATCCTCAGCATTAAAAGAAAGAAAAAGAGGGCTGGAGAGATGGCTCAGTGGTTAAGAGCACTGGCTCCTCTTCTAAAGGTCCTGAGTTCAATTCCCAGCAACCACATGGTGGCTCACAACCATCTGTAATGAGATCTGGTGCCCTCTTCTGGCCTGAAGACATGCTTGCAGGCAGAATACTGTATACATAATAATAAAACATTAAAAAAAAATGAAAAAGAAAAAGCAAAGCTGATAACTACTTACTATGGAGCAGAAAACTTACGTAGAAGCACAATAGATGACAATCGGGGACCAAAGACTAAGGTGGGAAATGGAGGCACTGTGTAAGCTTTGCACGTTAGACTTGGTGTAGGATATTATTGGAAGGTAGATCGTGATTAAAGATGTATAAACACTAGTTTAAAAAAAACAGCGAAACATTAAACAACCAGACAGTAAATACAGAGCGAAGACAGAGTCTATTACTGGACTGGCTGCTTTGTGTAGCACCTGACACAAGCTGGAGTCATCAGAGAGGAAGGAGCTTCAGTTGAGGACAGCCATCCATGGGACCCAGCTGTAGGGCATTTCCTCGATTAGTGATCAATGGGGGAGGGCCCAGACTACGGTGGGTGGTGCCATCCCTGGGCCAGTGGTCCTGGGTTCTCTAAGAGAGCAGGCAGAGCAAGCCATGGGAAGCAAGCCAGTAAACAGCTCCCCTCTACGGCCTCTGCATCAGCTCCTGCCTCCAGGGTCCTGCCCTGCTTAAATTCCTGTCGACTTCCTTCAATAACGAATGGCAATGTTGAAGTGTAAGTCAAACCCTTCCCTCCACAACTTGCCTTTTGATCATGGTGTTTCTTCACAGCAATAGAAACCCTAACATACTTATCATACAATCCAAAAGAATGGGAAAAGAATGAAAAAAGGAACAAAGAATGGCTGGGTAAATAAGAAAGAAAACCATGTTCCATTTCAGTAGATTCATAAGAAGAATTTGGGGCTGCAGAGATAGCTCGGTGCAAGCCAGAGCGCCAGTGATCAAAGCCCCGTGTGGTGGTGTGTTCCTATAACCTTAGGGCTGGGGAAGGAAACAAGAGAACCCCTGGGGCTCTCTGGCCAGTCAGCCTAGTCAAATTGGTGAGCTCCAGGTTCAGTGAGAGACCCTGTCTAAATATATGATAGGCAATGCTGGAGAGATGACTCAGGTTAAGAGTGTTGACTGGGGGCTGGAGAGATGGCTCAGTGGTTAAGAGCATTGCCTGCTCTTCCAAAGGTCCTGAGTTCAATTCCCAGCAACCACATGGTGGCTCACAACCATCTATAAAGAGGTCTGGCGCCCTCTTCTGGCCTGCAGGCAGACACACAGAATATTGTATACATAATAAATAAATATTTAAAAAAAAAGTGTTGACTGCACTTCCAGAGGACCTGGGTTCGATTTCCTAGCACCCACATGGCAGCTCACAACAGGGGACTCAACACCCTCTTCGGGCCTCTGCAGGCATTACATGCATGTAATGCACAATGCAAACATGCAGGCAAGACACCCATACCTATAAAATGCAAATAAGTAAATTTCAAAAAAAAAATTTAAAGAAGATGCCTGGTATCTACCTCTGGATTCCCTGTATGTGCTAGACGCATGCACAGGTGTGCCCAACATAGCCATGTGAACACAAAGAATTTGACAACTCAAAACTCACTTATGATTCTTTAAAAAAATATCTCAAAATTAAGAATACAAAAGAATGTCTGTAACCTCATGAAAGGAATACAAAGGAATGTCGTTTTTAAAAAATATTTATTACGTATACAGTATTTTGTCTGCATATATGCCTGCAGGCCAGAAGAGGGCACCTGATCTCATTATGGGTGGTTGTGAGCCACCATGTGGTTGCTGGAAATTGAACTCAGGACTTCTAGAATCACAGCCAGTGCTCTTAACCGCTGAGCCATATCTTCAGCCCACAAAGGAAACGTCCTTAGCCTCATGAAAAGAATTTATAAAAACCAAAAGTGTCAAAGCCACACATAGTTGACAGATTCCTGCAATCTCTGCATTTGAGATACCAAGTCAGGAGGGTCAGGAGTTCCAAGCCAGCCTGGGCTACATAAAAATAGCATTATCTGGTCTCAAGACTAACATCTGCATCAGCTCCTGCCTCTTTGGCAGGAGGATTGGGAGTTCAAAGACATCCTGGGCTACATGGTGGTTCTAGGCCAGCTCAAGCTACAGAGTGATACCTTGTCTCAAAGCATCAACCTAAGGCCAACAAGATGGCTCGGTGGGTTAGGGTGCTTGCTGTTAAACCTGATGACTCAAGTTCAAGCTGCAGGATCCAAGGATAAAACAGCTCATAACTTGTCCTCTGACTTTCATATGTGTATGAAACATGCCCCCCCATAAATAAATGGTTTGAATAAGAACAACCCCCATAGGATTATGTATTTGGATACTTAGTTCCCACTTAGTGAACCATTTAGGAAGGATTAGGAGGTGTGGCCTTGGAGGAGGTGTGTCACAGAGGGGGGGGCTTTGAGGTTTGTCATTGTCTCTGTGTGTCTTTGTGTGTGTCTGTGTGTGTCTCTCTGTGTGCCCATCTCTCTGTCTGTATGCATATCTTTGTGTATCTGTCTCTTTTTCCCCATCTCTATTCCTCTCTCCATCTCTCTTTTCTCTGTCTCTCTCTTCCCTGCCTCTCTTTTGTCTTTCTCCCCCATCTGTCTCTCTCCCTTTCTCTCTCCTTCCCCCCCCCCTCTCTCTCTCTCTGCAAACTGTGGAGGATCAACTGTGATCCTTCAGGTACTGCTCCAGTCATGCCTGCTTTATGGGTTGCTTTAATTATGGCGTCTCCTTATAGCAATAGGACAGTAACAAAGACAAATACCAAAGCAAAACTTGCCACACTAGAGGCAACATGGTACACAATGCTGAAAACTGGCTACTCTCCAGAGATTAGGAAGATAAATAAAAAGATGTCTGTCCCTGTTTCTAGTCAACACTGTAACAGTAGGCCTTCAATTAAGACAGTAGACAAACAAAAGGTCACAGGTTAGAGTAAAAGAAATAAAATTGCCTTATTTGCAGATAGGATGACTGTATAGACAGAAAATTCTACAGAAAAAGATAACTTATAGTCATAAATTTGTCAAGGACCCAGGGCACATGTTCACCATGCAAACATCAATTTTACTATTGTACCCTATCAAAAATAATTTTAGAAAATGAAATTTAAGATCATTGTCTTTGCTATAGGATGTCTCTCTGTATGCTGTGAATATATGTTACTCTCATTGGTTGATAAATAAAGCTGTTTTGGCCTATGCAAGGAAGTTAGAAGGGTAGAGGATGGGCCCACAGAGGACTGTGGGGCTTACTGGCCACTTACTGGACTTGCTTCCTCTGCTCAGCTACTTTTCTTCTGTAGGCCAGGACCACCTGCCTGGGCATCACCACCAACAGTGGGCTGGCCCCTCCTCCACTAGTTACAATTACAGAAGATCCCCAGACACTCTCACAGGCTACTCTAAGGGAGCCAGTTCCTCGGCTGAGGTTCCCTCCTCCAAGGTGACCTAATTAGAACTCTCTAAAAGGTGGAAGGAGAAAAATAGCTCCCAAAGTTGTCCTCTGACCTCCCTGTGTGCACCATGGCACACTGGCGTGCCCACAGACCCACACACACATGCCACAATCACAGGATGTTTCTAAGAGCTCTGCACTGGAACGTGACAGCTGAGAGAAGTGTGTGATTTCTGACCCAGCCCTTAAGAGCACTGACTGCTTTACCAGAGGTCCTGAGTTTGATTCCCAGCACCCATAACCGTCTGTAACTCCAATGCTGTGGATCAGATGGCCTCTGTGGGCACTGTACACACATGGCACCCAGACATACATGTCGGTAAAAC